ATTCCTTTCTATCATCCTCTCCTCATTACATTACTACACTTTCTCTCTCTTGAGCTGAACACTGACTTAAGCATCGGAGGCCCGACGCCGGGGCCACCCCCGGCGTTGGGTTCTGCAGGTGCGGAGGCCGTTCGAGTTGAAGGAGCCGGGTGAAATCTATTCACTTCAGACTGACCGACTCGGGCTACACCCGTTCGAATACTTACGATCACGTGGAGTGAAGAAGTACCATTTTTTGTCCCCAAGTTGAGGATATTTCTCTTCAACAAAAACCCAAATCAACATAATTTCAAATAGTATCTTCTACTAGTATATATATAATTGTTGGAGAACTTCAATAAATTTTATTCAGCCATCAATTAATAATAATATTAGTTCATTTAATAAAAATAGGTGTTCATTTAATTAAAATATGTTTCACCATCTAATATATATAATTGCTAGCAAGCTTCATTCCAACCGCAATTAATAAAAATTGGAGTCTATTTAATAAAATTTTTATGGCCTCCATCCAAAAACCGTTACAACATGTTCCTTTATTTTTAAATTTGTTCCCTACAATCATCCACCTATATTTTACTATATTTTGGGTTTGTAACTGTTGCATGCGATTACCATTTTTTATTTCTCTATATTTGGACACTGTAATTGTTGCACGATTACGAGATAATATTTAAATCATTAAATCTTAATGGTTAAAAATATTTTTAATTTGTATGTTGACAATTCACATGCAAAAGAAGTATTAAGTATTGATATACTATAGATACAACCCAAAATATATATATAAGCAAAAGTCATCCTTTGTAATAGAGATCTTTACACAAACTCATTCAAATTCAAATTTTTCATGCAAGATTGTACACTAAATTAGTTGAATTTAATGAAAAATAATTTTCCATTCTATTTTATACAATTAATATAATGATGAATTTGAATATTTTTATGATATTCATTTTTACTAAGGACAAAATGTTTAAAATGTAATACTATTACTTAACTTATAATTTTACAATTATACACATACACGTAACTTATAAGTTATAATAATTTAAATATTTGTGCATGTGCACATGATCAAGTTATAATAATTTAAATATTTGTGCATGTGCACATGATCAAATACTAATATGTAGTAGTAAAAAGTACTTTAGCTCATGTTTTATTAATTTAATTCATGATAAATTTATTAAGTTCATGTTAATTTAAATTTATTTTATATTAAACCAACAATTATATATATCTTTTGACATGATCCAAATCTTTTAATATGTATTTTCTTGTGGTTATAGCTTACTTCGTTATTTTTCTTCTTTGTTTTATTTTTTCATGTTTGGTTTAGGATGCTAGTAATTAATATTATTTCATATTTGAAATATATCAACTACTTGTTGACTTTCAATAAATGATATTTGAATATGTGAAACAACTAATTTAATTTCATTTTTTTCATATCATATTCAATAAAACAACATTTAAAATTCCACAATTTAAGTAAAATATCACACAAGAAGTATGTTGGGTAGACCTGCATAATCAATGAATGACATTTGGATTTTTGCAAATTAAGTGAAATATTAAGTAGCAAGTATTTAGGTTGACCTGCCTAATAAAATGTTCGTCTTATTGTAGAATTTGAAATAAGTTATATTATTTTTATAAGTCAAAATTACAAGACGAAATTAAGAAGTCATACTATTTTTTGAATACAAAGTTACTATATCAAAAAAAAAGAAAAAAAAATCTACAAGATTATGTTAAATGTGATCGATCTCCATATAAATACGCCTAAACAAAATACCATGAGGTGTTTTAAATTTACTAAAACAACATGACACATTTTTAATGATTTATTTTTTATTCATTTTATAATTTACAATAAATACTTCTGAAAACATCATACTTTAAATTTTTACACATAACTAAAGTGATATTATTAAAGCCAAATTGAGTCAAATATGTCGTGTTCGAACTCGTTCGCATTTAATAAACGAGCGTGTTTGTCTTAGATCATTTAACAAATTGAGTGTAATTAATTACGCTCTACTCGTTCTTAATTAATTTTTTATTTTATATTTTTTTATATGAATGAGTCGAGATTGACTTCTTACGAGTCAAACTGAGTTGTACTCCCTAACAGCTTCGTTCTAGCATCTGAGGGTAGAAAATATTTTGGGCTACACCCTGCATGCATTCTTTATTGTGATGTCACCCAAACGCTTCTCATTTTTTGACAACTCGATGCACTGGACTGCTTAGAGTTCCACATTTGATGGCAATGTCCTCTGAGATTATTTATTTTATTCAATCATAAATTGGTTTGTAGAATTTTTCCTCAAATGAAAAAAGTTGAAAATTCAGGTCTTATTGTGACACCATAACAAAAAGTCAAACCCTACAATAGAATTTGCCCGGGAAAGAATCAGGAGGAGCTGAGGATTAAAAGGGAACATCGATCAAGATGTGTAGTGTGGTCGAGCTACATATATGAAAGAATTTGATTTAAATGGGTTGAGCTTTATCATATTATCGTATGCTCGACACATTATTTAGTGATATGATGTCGGATACATTTTTTAGTGACCTACATATAATGATATCGAGAATTGCAACATGATAAGCTAAAAAACTAGGATCTTTATCAATTATCTATCTACTTTCATTATTGTCATATTGCAGCATGATAAGCTCATGGACACTTAATAACAAGAATCTTTATCGATTATTTGTTTACTTTAATTATTGTCGTATATA